GATCACCAGATCTACAGAGACACTGTCCTCTCTTCCCTCCATACTGCTGCAAGTGTTCAAGGAAGGGCTCCTTCCACCACAGCAATTGTTTGTGTTCGAATACACAACCTTTAGATGTTTGTTAATTTAAGTATATGCATGTTTATGCTGGTCAAACAAAACCACAGAAAAAAAACCCCAATAAATACAGCTGTCTAACAACTTGGACTGAAGCATTTCTTTCACTTCTGAAAGAAAACACAGCAAAAGAAAAGAATCCCATAAAATAACCTGCAGGGGAGCCAAAGAGAGAATAACTTCTTGTACCTTTCCTCTGACAAAAATCACTACTAGAGAAGGTATTTTCCAGTTAAAAAGACAATGGAAGCAAGACAGCAGAAGCTCTGAAGACACTAAATTAGTTTACATTTGCTCACTAAGGTTTCTAAACTTAAATATCTGGTTTTAGAAATAACTGCATCTTTGTCTGAAATCAGTATTAGTGAAATAATAATTCTGAAAGCAGTTTAGAAAAATGCAAACGCAATGAATAGAAAATTATAGTTACTATTAAATAATTTTTTCTTAAATTTTAGGTTTTGTTGTCTGCACAGACACACTTAGGAAAATAAAGAAAATTCTTCTTTATTCAGCAGGCAAGTAATAGGAGGCCAGTTTCCACTGCAGGTGGGTATCATCCCAAGTGAGTTTCAAATGAAGGAGCACAAACAGATGGATGATTATACTAAACCAGAAGTGAGATGATAATCAAACCTGCTTAACTCCTACCATCATTACAGGTAAAAGACAAATATAAAGTAACAAAAAATAAAAGGAAGTGAAATTTGATGAATCACACACAGAAAAAGCCACCAGCCACATACACAAATAAAATCTAAGTGCCACATAAACATCCAGTACTTCTCCTGACAACTCTGACTCCTTAAAAGCAACGATGAAAAATAAGGTCACATCTCCCTTAAGCTAATGGAACTGCTATTCTCTAGCTGCACAGGAAGACTTACCTCACAGAAGAGAGTGAGTTTGTCATCTGGAAGAAGTCCATTGGCCTCATCCAAAAGGAAGTCTCTTCTAATGAATTTTTTGAAGCCCCAGTCCTTGCCTTGCACGAATCGATAGGCTCTCTGGCTCTCTGCAAGAAAGATGTGGAGCTGAGCACGGGCCGAGTGACTCGCCTGGCCAAACAGTCACAGACAAACCTCTGACCCCATCAGTCAGAAGGAGCTTTTACACACCCATTGCTTTTGTTTCTTCTCCTTTTGCATTCAGGATGGAGAATTTGAACTTGGCTCGAACTTCACTTTTTGGACAGCTCACCAGCAGCAGGTAGAGGGACAGATAATCTTTACTTTCTTCATCCAAGCCTTTGGGGTTGACACGTAAACACCTGTGGAAGCAGAGGCTGCTGAATGAGATGTCAGCAACAGGGTTTTTTTGGCAGGTCATTCCTAGCTTGCAAAGAAAGGGCATTGTAGAACCTTCACAATAAAATGTACAGCAAACAAGTTCAGTTCAGCAGCCACTGAACCACAAGAAAAAAAGAGATAGGTAAATAGAGTGGAACTGCACTTAGTCTCCTGCTACACCTCCAAGACAGAGAAGGATACACAGGCAGTAACTATGGGCAAACCAATTAAAAAATACAGGGGAATGAAAAAAACCCACCAAAAAACAGAAAGGGGTATGGTTTATATGACTGAAAAGCAGCCTGGATGTCACCTTTCACACAAGCAAAGTGAAAGAAATAGTAGAATGGAGGCAATGGATTCAAGGAAGTGCAATAAATCCAGAGAAACAATAGGCAAAAATCCACAAGAACAACTGAAAGGAAAAATGGATTTCTGGAAGGCTGGTAGTTTCTCAAAAACATAATGCTAAGAAATAGGGCAAAAAAAGAAAACTGCTTCTGTGTGAAGAAAAGGTAGTAAGTGCAGGAAGAGCCTGACTCATAAACACTTTCATGGTCTGAAACTTGATACAGAATCTTAACAAAAAGCACCAGCTAGGTCAAAGGACTAACAAATCAAACACAGAAGGACACACACACAAAAAAATATCAGGAAGATCTAGACATCAGAATGAGATCTGACCAGCAAAGGTTATAAAGGTAAGTAATTTAACAGCAAAAAGCAGCCCAAGGAAAGCACAGGTCTGCCACCCAAAGGAAGGGAGCACAAATTGTATCGCACACACACAATTATTTAGAGCCTGATTTTCCAATCTATACTAAGGAAATTTAAAGTAAAATTCTAACAGCTAATATCAGAGATAAAATAAGGACCAATGTTTCTGTGGATCTGCTAGCTCAGACACAACTCACAATGGATACACATTCTGACCAAAGTCCACTCTGAGTTACTGGAAATTACTTGAGAGTTCAGGGAAGATAAGAAAGGTTCTTAAGGAAAAGGGAAAAAATAGTGTCAACCTTAAGCAGCAGAACCTCCTGGGCAGAAGGAGTTACAGAAGACTGTTAGTTCCATCATCTCTGTGTTAAATCTCCAAAGCCACAAAGGGCTGCCATAAAGAGAAAAGTAACACAGCAGCAAGACCCTTAAATTGCAGGATTTAGAGTGCAGGCAAAAATTAACATTTTAACAACATGGAGTATTAGGGACTGAAACTGGGAGGCTGAAATAGTGCTTAAATACACTGGCTGTGGGCTCTCAGTGGCTTAGAAAAGCTTGTTAAGGAAAACATCAGTCAAAAAAATCCCCAAACTGAAGCCATTAATAATCCTGACTGGCCCTTCTTTGCTTCAAAGCAGGATGTAGTCTCCCTTCCAGCAACGGCTGCTATTACTTGTGATGTTTTCCATAATCAGAAAAACACTGCGAAGAGCCAGATCCTCACTTTTGTGTGTCTGAACACTGTGCTGAAGCAACAGGACCTTCTCCCTTACACATGTTGTACATCCAAGGAAAAAAGAACTGGTGTGCAGTACAAGTATTCAGGTTTTTTTAAGTCTCCTCTGTTACAGAACCCCAAATTCTTTCACATAGTTGTACAAACAGGGTGAACCTCTCTGCTCTGTTTCTTACCATTTGAGTTTATCATTGGCTCCAGATGAAAAGGTTGAGCTCTTGATGACCTCACCCATTTCTTCTCGGCAGAAGCTGAAGTTGTTTATGGTCCACATGTACGAAAACTTCACCACCTTGATCTTAAAAGAGAGAATCACAGGTGGTTCAGAGTCGTGCTCATTCACCTCAGCAGCTCAAAGGGAAAAACTGAAAACCTGGAGGTTTTACTGAGTCACTTGTTTGAGAAATAACCCCCAAGCACAAGACAGCAGAGTCTGAAAATGGCTGGAAGTGGCAGCTGGATCACTCCAACTTCTCCAACTGCCTCCTCCTTCAAAGTTCCCCCTCTACAAAAAGGATGGGACAGGCTGGAGAGGGTCCAGAGAAGGGCCACAAGGATGAGCAGAGGACCTGCCAGATGAGGAGAAGCTAAGAAAACTGGGTTTGTTCAGTTTGGAGAAGACTCAGGGGAGATCTTATGACCACGTTCCAGGACTCAAAGGGTGGCTGCCAAGAAGGTGGAGACTCCCTGTTTACAAGAAGTCACACGGAAAAGACCAGGGGTCATGGGCACAAGTTTCTCCAGGGGAGATTCTGATTGGACACAAGAGGTAAATTCGTCACCATGAGAACAGTCCAACATTGGAAGTGTCTCCCAAGGGGAGTGGTGGGTTCCCTCACACTGGACTGTTTTAAGTCTCAGTTTGATAGGGTCCTGAGCCACCTCATATCAACTATATTAAATACCCTGAAAGGTTGGACCAGATGATCCTTGAGGCCCCTTCTAACCTGGCATTCTAAGATTCTATGAAAGTCCCACCAAGAGCAGAGGGCAACATTCTGCTTTTGCCTCAGCGAATGCTTGTTGTCAAGCATGACATAATCTGGAAACCCAGATTCTCAACTGTTGAATCAATCTCTTCCCACAGGTGTGATTGCATTATGTCAAGGAGATCCCAGCACAGCATGGAGTTACCTGGGTGTAGCACCAGCTCTCTGCTACAGGTCCACTCGACATTTCTGCCGGGGGAGGAGGACTCGGCACCCTTGACATCGCCAGTTTGAAGATTAAACGGAATTTCACAACTCAGCAGAAGAAATTTATAACTGAGCTTCACCCTGGCTGTCCCCAAAAAGAGAGAGACAAAAGGAACAAAACTAAGAATAGAGGGAAAAAAAACAAAACGCCAGGAGAGCTGTTAAATCTCATGGGACACAAAGCTATAATGTTTTCTCCCTCCCCCCTAGCACCTTCAAAACATGATTTAACATTTAAACCTTTAAAAGTGTTACCATATGACTCCTGGAGAGGCTCCACTACCTTCATTCATTCTTCCACTATGCAGCTCTTTATAGGAATAAGCCTAGTATATCATTTCTTTTAAGGAGTCCAACACTCCAATAGGAGACTTCCCACTTGGGATTCACTGCTTTACCCTGAGGTCCCCATTTCAACCTCCTATTTTCATTTTGATAGTCTCAGACTGTCACAGATCAGATGTGACAAACCAAGTTCTCTATCTGAAAGAGCTACAGGTAGTGACATGCAAACCAAACCCAACAGCAAAACAAAATCCTCTGAACAAAAGTTTCAGAGTGAGGCTGGTAACATCAATGGAAAAATTTCCTATCCTTAAACCTTCTCCTGAAGCCTGACTATCAGGGAAGGTGTTGGTAAAAATTTCTCTACTTTAAATTAAATTGCTTTGGCCAAGGGAAATTCTCATTTCCTTTCCATGCTAGTGAGGTTCCCAACTTTTAAGTGTCAAGTGAAACTGTCACCTGCAAAGAACAGACGGGGTTAAAACCACTGCAACACACCTGAAGGAATACACAGGCACAGCTGATAAAACAACCACCCAACTACCAGAAGGGAGATTTAAAAGCCAAATAGAATAATCAACCCATCTCTGACTTTTGAGTTCTGATCCCTAAGAAAGAGACACAAAAGTTCTTCAAGATGAGTTTGGAAACCAGGATTCATAACTCTGGCAGATAAAAAAGCATCATGTGCCTTCCAGTTTAGCCTTCTGCTAAACACTTTCTAATTTGTAGGTGGTATTTATCTGCACAGGACAGCCAGTGAACCACAGGAACTCCACTGCTGTTATTTTATCCTCCAAAGGATAAAAAAAGGGTAACGAGTAACAGACAAAGTTGTTATCTTGCAATATAAATAGGTTTAAATAGAAAGGCTGATATGAGGTTTGTTGGAGAAGAAAGGTAAAGCACAGGCTTCTGAGGGTGGAAGTGAGTCGTTCTTTAAAGGAAATGGTGAGGAAAAAAGAGAATATTTACCTAAAAACTCCACACCTCAAAACAACAGAATGTTCAAAATAAGAACATAAATACACATAACTCCCCGCAAAAAGGCTATGAGCATAATTTGGAGTCTTTAAGGGCAGCTGCAGTGCAGGTCTGGATCTGAATGAAGGTACCAGCTGCAGACCAGGCCTCTCCCAAGCAAGGCTCACACTAGGCTCCTTTCCAGCGCATGGCTGCGTACCCAGGTTTGAGTCCTCTGCACCTCCAGAAAGTGCCTGGAAATACTGCTACACAAGCACTAGCTAACAGTAAACCAAGAGTGAGGTATTTCAGGTTTAATTTCCTTTAAAAAAGCACAAGTGAGCCCATGTAAACACTGAAAAAGAAATCCTGGCTAACAGGAGACAAGAAATAAGAATTGAACCCTGCAGAGATGCACACTTAACTGGATGGAAATGTATTTCCTGGAGCAAAGCCTGGGGGCAAGCAAATAACTTCCTAATATCTGAACTGCAGAGAACTAGTAGGGATGTAGAACTGAGTGCTCTCCCATGAAACTGCCTTGCAAACTTCTTGCAGTTTGTGCCGTGCATGTGGAATCAGGGGAGAAAAAGGGACAGCAATAAGCACTTTAGGTACTTACTGCAGGTTTTATTACATTCAACTTCAGATTACCACAGCTCCTCCAAAAAATTCAATTCAACCACGCTGTGTCATTCAAATGAATCCTAACTTAGCAGATAACTTACCAGACGCTGGTTCTGAATACTTTGCTAACTGCCCATCCATGGGCAACATTCAGTATTGCCTGTGGAAACCATGGCTTCCCCATCTCCACTCTCTTTGGGGGAACAGATAAAACCTGAAACTCTAGCACAAGCAACAAGAAATACCTCCTCCTCTCCACAGCTGGGAGAACATAATCTTTTCACCAGCTTTGGTCTATGGGCAGGAAAGACCCAAGCTGCTTCTGTCCCCTCGGAGTTGACAGCAGCACTGCTCAACTCCACCCAGGCTCTTACATTGTTCTCTTCACAGCCATTTTAAATCTACATTATTCTAGTGATCTGGTTTATAGCACAGGCACAAACGACAGGGACATAAACTCCTGACAGGAGAGGAAATAAAATCTTCTCCATAATATTTGCAGGAACCGATGTTAGAAGAGCAGCTCTGTAGCTCCTTGGGTCCTTCTCACACACTTCTTATGAACTGGAATAACTGGGCAGCTTCCAGTCATCTGGGACCTCCTATAGCAGATGATAGAGAGGGGTCCTGCCATAACATCCACCAGCTCTTTCAGTACTCTGGGATGAATCCCACCTGGTCCCATGGACTTGTGAACATCATGAGTGTGGCAAAGAATGCAGTTCTCCTTGCCTGGCTTTGGAATAATTACAAGGAACAAATTCAGAAGAGCTTGGCTAAGAAACCACCTTCACTGTAAGGTATTTATCAACAAGAAGCAGTTCCCTGCAAGACAACTTCTCCTTCCAGGTAAACTGGAGTAATTATGTATCTGGACACACACATTAGAGAAGTGGTTTAACACCAAAAGTAATTTTACAGTGAGAAGACTCCAGTGGGTCTTTCTTGAAGACAAATTGGTGAATTTAGTGGTATGGCATGAAAACGAGGGATTAATGAGGAGAGAAAGAGGAGACAGCAACTTGTCATGTTACAATGGCACATGCATCAAAGCCTGTTGGCTTCCTGGATGGAAGACTAAGTTAATTCTAAATTCCTGTGTGTCCAAGGAGCAAACTCTAGAAGACTGCAGCTATTAACCATATAAATGGGAAAGGAAATAGATAATCATGATTCAAAAATTGAAACTTCAACAGCTACTTTCTGTATTTCAACAGGACTTTCAGTTGTACCTAAATATGACCTCTACCTTACACAGGCAAAGAAGTTTTAGAAAGTCACTGTGGTCTAAAGGCAAGACCAACTATAAGCTTGAAACACACAGGACTATTTAATTTTCTCTGAGTAACTGTCACTTTTATATCTTACATTATTTCCTCCCAGATGGCTTGGATAGACAGGTGGTAATAAAAGTTATGACAACGTGCTAATAGAATTTGCTGCATGTCAGCACGTCATTTGTGATGCTTCTAAAATGGCCCAAAGGGGACAAAGGTTCTAGATTTTAAAGATTTTCTATTATTTGGAAAATACTTTCAGTCTGGCATGTCAAAGCTTTCTACAGTTGCTTTGCGAGGCTGTTAAATACAGTTAAAAAGAGATGTTAAGATCCAACACACTCCTAGTTTAACGCAGCAATCAGTCACCAAATGCTTATCGTCAAATGACATCACTGGGACTTTGATTGTTGTAGCAAGTCATAATAAGGAAGAGCAGCTCTGCTCTGGAGGCAGGCTGGGAGAGCTGGGGTTTTCAGCCTGGAGAAGAGAAGGCTCCAGGGAGACCTTAGAGCACCTTCCAGTGCATGAAGGGGCTCCAGGAAAGCTGGGGAGGGGCCTGGGGCAAGGGCAGGGAGGGAGAGGACAAGGGGGGGGGATGACTTAAAACTAGAGGAGGGGAGACTGAGGTGAGACATTAGGAGGAAATTCTTCCCTGTGAGGGTGGTGAGACACTGGCCCAGGTTGCCCAGGGAAGCTGTGGCTGCCCCATCCCTGGCAGTGTTGAAGGGCAGGTTGGATGGGGCTTGGAGCAGCCTGGGCTGGTGGGAGGTGTCCCTGCCCATGCAGGGGGGTTGGATCTAGATGACCTTTAAGGTCCCTTCCAGCCCAAACCATTACATGATTCTACGGTAATGGGAATAAACAGGTAATATCCACTAGTGTCTTTTGGCAAAAATTATCAATAAGGAAAAATGTGTCCCTTGCCCTGCTTAGGGAAAGCAAACAAGAGAAGCACATAACAGGTCATTGAAATACATCCCTAGAGAAGTGCCTTAGAAACTGCCATGTGCTGTTCCACCTTCAAATGGACCAATATTAATTGCATTTGAAAAGTAACCACAGCTGACTAAAGGGAAAGTTTCTAAAACCAGCAGGGCACTCCCAGTGTTTATTTGCTGATGAACACTTAATACTTCACCAGTTCGCACTTCTTCACCAACAGAGTTGGCACCTCTGAACCAGCAGTGAACTGAAAGCCCTGCAAGCAGAAGTTTTAGGAAAACATTTTGTAAATTTGACAAACACTTTGTCTGGAAATCAAAATTCTTTCTGGCCAGGAAAGACAGGGATAAATACCAAGTCACAGGAAATAAAATATTACCTTATGGACCCCTGTGAGCCTTTCCTCCTGGGAGTCTCTCACTTTCTTGGACATAAATAACAACCAGCACTTGTCTCTGGATGTAGTTAAGAAAAAGAACAATTTTCACCTTGTTCACAACCACTTCCAGATGAAGAGACATTTCATCTTAAGAACCAGAGGCAGATCAGACCTTTTTAAAGCACAGGAAATGTTCCCTTGCCACCTTGTCCTCCTAATTATCTCCTGACTTAGCAGCTGTACCAAGACATCTCAGCTCAAAATTTCCTCTACTGTAGGAATCCAAGTCAGAACTATTCTGTGAGCAGCCAAGACTTGACCTAAGAGAGAGGGAATCTCAGCTCAACAAATAATTCTAAACGAGGCCTCAAAATTACTGTATCTCTGCTAAACAACCTGTCAATTTATACTTCTTCAAGATAAACCCTTTAAAGAAACAAGTAGTTTACATCAGAAATTTCCAAATATAGTCCTTTTCAGTAAGCTTTATGTAGCAAAAGATAACTTACAGAAGTCTTGTAAAAGAAGTGTATTTTTAAT